TGACCTACTAAGTAGCGCACCCGGTCTGCACCGTGTAATGCCGTGGGATGGGTTAGTGCAGAGTACGAAATACCGAGTAGGACCAGGTTATCCGTCATAATTCGGTCGAGGAGCCTGGCTGGGAGTGAGCCAATGTCGCACCGACCACGGACGCACTCGGTATGTGCTGGCTGGCCTGTACCGGAGGTATCATAGGCGGAACCAATAGGCGCGATGACTTGGTTTGTACCGAAATTTGGAAGTGATACTTCCGCAGTGTGACTAGCCGGGGTATGAGGAGCATCTGTTGATGTGTCAGAGACGAGTGAGGGTACGGGGTTGTTCTACATGCTGGAGAAAGAATCCAAGGTGTTCGTTGAGGGTCCAGATACCGTGAAAGTCGTTGGCACTTCTGTAATTGCTGGAGGGGGTCAGGGCCAATGGGAGGCAGTTTCTGGCCTACCAGGATGCGTCGGATCAGTTGTTGGATGCTGGCAAAGTGACTGGTGGAGAATTTGTGGCCACCGGGACAGGCAGGGCAGAGACAGCCGTAGGTGCGGTAGTCGAGCAATGTTTACATGTACGTATTCGTTACAATCATAGCACAGAGCCGGATTGTTGTAGGCTCGAAGCAGCGGTTGAAGCTGTCGTGGCTGGCTTTGTCTCAATTTAAGGTTGGCAGTTTACCCATGACCAGCTGGTAGTAGTATTGGCGCCGGTCCATTGCCACGATCTCCTTGTTGGACCAACGTTTTGGTTTCTTCCTACTGTCGTCACAGCGTTGGCGGAGGGCTATATGGTCGGGTTTTGTACAATTTTCAAGCGGGCATAGATACTATATGAGAAGCGCAGTGATGGTTTGTCGTGGGCCCAGGCGGGTTGCGTCAGAGGGGTGAATGGGTTGTGCTGCCCATTGAGTCGTGTTGTATTCCCAAGCAACCTCCGAGGTAGTCCGCGAATGGTCGCGCAGGGAGCAGGCCACAAAAGTGGAGTAAGTTTGTTTGATGCTTGGTAAACCTAGGGCATTTAGTGCCCGTGATGATGGCTGCTGCTTGGATGGGTGCTGAGTTAGAGTGCTCGAACAGGGGCTCCAGTGCATCTTTCCATATAGGCGGAGCCCAGGCAATAATGTGAGGCCATACGTAGCCGTAGATAGGATGAATGTTTTGAATAGCACCAGTCGGTTGTGGGGGTGTCGCCAGCTAAGGCCATGGAAGCCCTAGGGCATTTGGTGCCCGTGATAATGGCTGCTGCTTGGATGAGTGCTGAGTTATTTCGCTCGAACAGGGGGTCCAGTGCATCTTCCATATAGGTGGAGCCCAGGCAATAACGTTCAGGCCATACGTAGCCGTAGATAGGATGAATGTTTTGAATAGCACCAGTCGGTTGCGGGGGTGTCGTCAGCTAAAGCCATCGAAGCCGTAAGCGGGATTCCATATATCTGGCGAGGTTGATCCCTGGTATTCCCGTGAGAGAGTGGAAGCCCCAAATATTTGGAGAGTTTAGGCCTGGCATGTATGAGCGCCATCTTCAGGGATAAGTAACGTATGTTCCAAGGTGCGTCTGCGAGGGTGGCGCCGCGTGTCGTAAGTCGGTAGATCGTACTCGGGGTTTGATGACACCTTGTTCGAGGCCAGATTTGCTTCCCCACGCATCAATGTCGTCTAAGAAGGGCTGGAGCGGAACCGGTTGGGGAGCTTGGATCCGTGCGTCGTCGACAAATAAATAAGACCGGTGGAGCTTGGGCCGAAATTGTGCTAGCGTGACAGCTAAGGAAACCATGTAGATAATAAAGAGCTGGGGGCCGACGATTGAGCCGTGTAGGATGCCATTCGTTCTATGGAATAGAGGCGAGAGCGTGCCTCGGTATGTCACCCGGGTAGGGAACCTTTCAAATAGCGCGGAGGTTGGTTTTTAGCCGGGTTTTAGGGCTTAGGCAAATAGTTGGTCCAGTTTCCGGGCATTCCAGCGCGGCGCAGGAGTACCTATAGGCGTGTGAGAGCAATCATTTCGTATGTCCAGACAGACGTCGTTCCACACCTCTTCCGACTGTGTCTCAGATTCCATGGCGGCGAGTGCTTGGGTATGGCAGGAGTATCGTCATTTCAAAAAAAAAGCTTGGGAGCATGGGTAGCAGAGCTGGGGTGGCTCGTAATCAACTTAAGAAAGTACTTCTCAAAGATGCGTCTGACTATTTGCGTAAGCGTGATAGGGCGGATGTCGGCGGGGGAGGTGAAATCTGCATCGGCTTTTTTTTTGGGTGCGCTGTCAGAAGGCTGCAGTTCAGGGCTGCAGGGAAGGCACCCTCCTTCAGTAGCTCAGTGAATGCTTCGGTAAGGAGTCTAATCAGTGGGACATTGGCGTCGGGGCATCCTAGTGTCCTGCGTTTGGTGAAGCGCTCCACTGCGGCCTTCAGAAGGAAGATGTGGATCCCGTCGGGGCCAGGCCCCTTATTAGGATAACATAGTATAGCCTCCATTACATCGTCGGGGCGTATGGCGAAAGTTACGTCTGGCGAGGGTTCGGTATCCGGTGGAACCACGTACGGGTTCATAGAGCTGAATAGGTCCTCAAAGTACTCATCGGCACCCGGTATGCAGGGTTGGCGGGGAGACCGTCGTTGGTACGCAATATCTTTGAACATTTCAGCATTGCTTTGGGCGGTCAGACGTGGGGGGGGGGACGAGTGGTTTGGCAGCCGTTGAACCCAGGGTCTGTTTAAGTCATAGTAGAACCCCCCGAAGATTTGTGGGCTAGCGGTATAGCGCCAGATGCAGTCGATTTCGGCTTGGAATAGTCACGCGCGGGATTTGTTGCGTAGGTGATACAGTCGATGGCGGTATCGGTTATATCCATGCGAGGGGAGGCGTTGGTCCGGAGGCGGCGAAATTTTTAAGCAGCGGTTGGTTTTGATCCGACGCTCTCGAGGTATGGGCCTCGCGCGCTCTTTCTGCGCTACGCTGCTTCGTACTGGGTCAAACCAGGTTTACATCTGTACAAATATGCTTTTCTTCCCGTATTCAGGTATTCTCGTAATTTGCTTATCATATTGACTATACTGGTGAATGTCTTCAGATACCAGTGTTGCTTATCGTATTTATTATACTGGCCGATGGCGTTAAATACCTGTACTACTTATCATATTTATTATACTGGCAAATGTCTCCTAATGAACGTGTTGCTTATCAATTTTATTGGACTAGCAGATGCCACTTAACAACTTGTGCTACTTATCATAGTTCTTGGCAAATGCCTTCTAGTATCTGTGTTGCGTATCAAATTTATTATACCAGTATGTCTTCTTATACCTGTGTTGCTTATCATATTAATTTTTATTAGTAGATGTCTTCTATCAACTGTGTTGCAATTTTATTTTCGTTAAATTGGTAAATGTCTTCTAATATATATGTTGCATATCGGAACTACAACGGCAGCTATTAGAGTTTTCTTTGAATCACATGAGTATTCCAATGTACGCCCACAAATTATTCTAGTGTGCAGAATGCGGGTCCCGCTCGGGCTAAATATACCTCAAATTGCGCAGTACTTATACGAGTAGGCTCACAGATAGTCAAGTATCAAGCTATTACGCAGAACATGAACATCATTCATAACCATGTACTTCGACAAACAATTAATATCTTATCACAGAACCTAGAAATTGAAATTATTTGAATTATCTATTCGTCATACCACAAATCAAATTAGACAAGGGAAGAACATGATCCAATAGCGTATTCGTCAAGACTACCAGTCACATATGCGACAAGCTTACTTCATACATCTCCCGCCGTCTATATAGCAGAAGATTTTTGTGGAGTTGGGATGTTGTAATTGCTCATTACTAAACCTGCAAACCAGAATTAAGAAGGACAAAGAGTGAACAACAGTTAAACTTTTTCAGCTAAGACATTCGCTTACAATTATGACATAGATCTAAAAATAGCGAGTTCTTGTTTGTAGAAGCACATTTTAACTTAATTACGAAATTCTGTAATACGTAAAACGTAACGGTAGATATTTGCAATACTCATAATAATCTCTTTTTGAGAACGATCACCAGCTTAGTGTTTTGAATTTGATTTTGCATCTATTTGAATCTTTGCTTTGCTATGCAAACAATCAGCGAATCGAAGCCATACTCAGGCTTCCATATACGAGCAGTAGATAAAGAACGATAGTTTAATATAGATATCTGGATTGTCTACCATCGTTATGGATATGGTTTTATCTTTACCAGACACTATTAAAAATGGCGAATTGATGCAAAAGTATCAAAGAAAGAGGTTAGCCAGCTTCGTGAGTCCACACTGGCTTTTGGAGGATTGATTTTTATTTAAATTCTATGCTCTGCACCAGTGTGTACTATTTATCGGGGGTTGGGTGATCTAACTGTATCGGAGATAGTATTGTATGGAGTGCAAACGGTGGTGAGCAAGCTGAGGGAAAATATACTTTATTGCATATGCGGAAAATAAGGACTTTAAAACTACGCGTTTCACCAAATATTGTCCTTTGAAAGGACCCAGACCCGAGTGGTATAGAACTTTCTAAAATACCGAACTGTCAGAGCCAGATATTTGCACAATAGACTGCAATTATGTGATAAGTCTACCACATACCAGTGGGTTTTCCTTTGGGACAAAGTTCTGGGGTTGACCACAACTCTATTGACAATTTTATTGTATATTGCAAGTATATTGTGCTCTTGATACAGTTCTAATAAACCGACATATACTTTTATTTACAATACATTTCACCCCAAAACTACTCAAATGTCAAGTTTAGGCTCTAAAGTGTTCTGGAAAGGGGCAGAGTAGCACCTCGTAATGCTTTTCGAGAATTGACATTCAGATCTCAATAAAATGGCGGCCTTTATGTCCCACACCTGTATGTACTCTATTTATCAACGGCTCGTGTGACAGCCATACTATTCTCTAACGAGGTCTGATGTGGATGTATCTGTGTCAATCGAGGAGCAAATGTTTGAGAGAAAGCCATAGTGTAAAAAATTAAAATCTTTTATTTTCTCGCACAAGTGGAATGATAGTCCCAGTGAACCGTGCCAAAGAGTTGTGCCTGCAAAGCGAGCAGCCAAAATAGAATAGAATCGTGTGTTATGTAGCTATAAAGTCATTAGGCATTACTCTTCCGCATGGCCGCGATATGTACTGTATGTTTAAAATCACTAATCTTACGGGTGGCGAAAACGATGTGAAGCGCCGCTTTGTGGAATATGGACTTCATCCCGTAGTTAGAGTTAGTGGGGGCACCAATCCGTCAAAAAAGTGTTGATACACTCATAAAATCAACAATGATGCCTTACTTTTTCAAGGGCGCATCGACTATGCCTACGTTCTATTTTGGATGGCCAAACCCTAAAGCTTGAAACCCTAAACTTTAAAAACCTATTTCAGATTACTCGGATATTGTACTCACGGATCACATCCTCAGCAGCATACTCCCATGGACAACTAGCAGTGCTCAACAATCAGAATACGTCAATCTATTGCGTACCAGCACTGAATGCATTCTGTTCCTCGAATACCAGCTGAGACTGTAGCCCATGGTAGGCCCTGCGTTGCCTTTTCTTGCGGTGTCTATACATTATAATAACAACCGTAAACAAGCACGTGATAGCCAGACACTTGACGGCCAGTGTGTGCAGCTTGTCGGCCACGTGATCCTTCTCCTCGGCGGTCATCCACAGTTCTGTATCCATTGCATTGATTTGTATCTCGGGGTCGAGGGTGTGGCGTACGTAGAGCACCGTGGTGACCACAATCTGCACATTCTCATGAGTTCCATCCGTAGTAGCGTCTTCCAATGCTTTCTCAAATATGTCCCGTGTGGTGTTCGTTACATCGCGATATAGGCGTTCGTTGGCCCAATAACCCCAATGATTTGGACGGCAGCCAGTGCCGTTACTAAAAGCCCAAGAAACAAAAGACCCAGGAACCGAGTGTCAGGTGCAAGGACATTTCAATTGAACACGAAGTGAACGAATCCAAACCAAAGTGAAAAGAACTTGAGATGAAGTGACTTAAGATGAAGTGAAAAGAACTTAAGATGAAGTGAAAAGAACTTAAAATGAAATGAATAGAACTGAAATGAAGTGAAAAGAACTTAAAAATGAAATGAATAGAACTTAAGATGAAGTAAAAAGAACTTTAAACGAAGTCAAATGAGTCATCGAAGCACTTCAGTGAAGGGCAAACAGGCCAGCGCAGCAGCATGTGAGCAACTACGAATCTTAGGAAACGAAAGAAAAATATATAACACGTCAATGTTGGCTATATACACGAGCACATCGAGTTATGCAAACTACGTTGGACTCGTTCGCAAGCTTCGCACTCTCATGGCTCACACACACACACCAAAGTTGTTTTCAATTAAAACCCTCACGTACCCCCCCCCCACACACGTGAATTTGTGCGCTCACAAAACCCGAAACCCAAGCGACACCAGCGCAAACATCAAACGACAACCACACACTCCCACAGCCCTACCTGGTGCTATTGAAAGTGGTGAGTGTCCACACAGCCGGCCCGTTCGCGTTGTCTGTGCTGTTGACCTGCACACACGAATGTGCCAGCACGCGTAGCTCTAAACCTGGCTGAGCCGTTTCAGCGTCCGCAGGAGGAGTGTCATGAGCCTGGCGCATCTCTCGTGCACGCGCTCTAAATACACGGTAACCCATGTCGCGTTCTCTAAGCATTCCTTCGCGTGACATTGCTCGGGTGTGCTCCCTTGCCCTGCCAATCACTCGCTCGCGTGTACGTCGACTGGCGCGTTCACCACCACTCGTCCTGCGCACATCCGCAGCAGTCGGGTTGCGTCTAAACATGTCTGGATGTGCGCTTGTGTGTGTCAGGTGTTCGTCAGTGATGGGTATTACTTTTCCCATGTTCACGTCAATGGGCAGTGCCTGGCCTGTGTGCTCCAGTTTGAGGTAGATGGTCTTGCTGATATTCCCCACTGTGGGCACACCTGTGCAAGGGGCGTCGTATGCTTAGTAAGCAGTGGCACGTGTGTAGGGGCACCCGCAGTAACTCTAGGGCTGCCCAACTGATAGCGATAGGGAGTGTGTGCGCTTGTGCGTGAGCAGTTACCACTGATAGTACGGATAGCATTCGACTACACAGGCGCACGTACTGAGCAGTGCCTTTGCATTTGAGCACACCGCAGCCCATACCACTCATTGCTCGACAGGTCCAATGAATGTTTCTCGATTGCAGTTGATGGAGTCAAGGACAGCTGTAGATCGTTGTATATACTTATAACCACACTACTACGGCATATTGCATGGGCGTCTTTGCAATGGTGTAGCTATAGTCCTGCCACCGTGAGGTGACTAGCAATTGTACATCGCACACGGCCAACCCGCCATTTGCACGACGACATACAGAAAGAGACGAACTCACACTACAACGCATCCAAGACACACAAACCAGTAGCAGACACGCACTATGGACTACCGCATGCCACGAACCGACATCGAGCTAATCTATTACTGTACTATGGATCACGAGGGAAAGACCAACAGCCTTTAAAATACGCTCGGAATACACGTCTACACAATGGAGCTCAATAGTCACAAGCGACCTGATTAGCACTTCGGCCCAATTGTACGTAACACTGATTTTATGGTTTAGGGTTTAGAATCGGGGCCCAGGTGAAAGATAACAAAGTGCTCAGGATGTGCTTAGGTTATGTGTTGGATGTATCACCTGATATACCACACCACACCACACCACACCACACCACAACATACTATGAGACAGCACAGCACAGCACAGCACAGCACAGCACACCAGCAACTGCCAAAGTACCTACCGAGATCCAGCGTGACGTTGAGCACCATCTTGTAATACAAGTCATCGTAAGCGTACAGACTCGTTTCTAATTTCTGAAATAAAAGGGAAGAGAAACACCACAGAGCTCTGAGTATATGCGCATTTTAGACATAAATACTTTAGCATACTAAAAAGACCAATACAAGCAAACTCAAAAAGCATGACAAACGATAGCAGGCGTACAGCATGAGGTTGACTTACGAATGGAATCGTTCCACATGCATAAGTACCCATGCTCACCCACGGATGAATGCACACACACACATACATCCCAGGTACACACACACACACACTTCCCATGCACGCACACACACATACTTCCCATGCACACACACACACACACTTCCATGCACACATACAAACACACTTCCCATACACACACACACACACTTCCCATGCACACACACACTTCCCATGCACACACACACACACTTCCCATGCACACACACACACACTTCCCATGCACACACACACACACACACTTCCCATGCACACATACAAACACTTCCCATGCACACACACACACACACACTTCCGTGG